TGTATTTTTTTGATGTTCGTACCAAAGATCAAACATTTTCCTTTTTTCAGGCATCATTCCATTGGCGAGATAATCGGTTTTTGTTGGATATATTTCCTTTCCGTAATTTTCAGGACGATTGGCCATGTGAGGGAAGAATGGTTTGTCTTGAACCTCGAGATCGAATGAAGGTACAAGTGAAGCAAGTGACATTGGCATTAAATTAAAGGTGTCACGGAAGATGATATTATTCTTCTTGTTCTTCATCTTCATTTCATAAATTTTATTTCCCTTTTTCAAAATTTCAGGTATTAATCCTTGCTTAACTATTTCTTTTAGAGTAATGACAATGTCGAACCTGCCTCCAAAATGTGAAAAAGCATAGATGTCGTAATTTTGTGGGAGTTCATTTAAGATCCAGTTAACAAAGGATGAAATTGGAGAATTGCATATTATCTTCTTATCAACAGTTGTTTCAATAAAGGGATGTTGAGAGAAAGTTATTGTTCGATGTTGTCCACAAATTTTGCAAGTATTAATGTGAAGACTTTGTTGCCATTGTCCTTTTATTATACATTCAGGACATGAAACTTTTGCTGCAATAAAGTTAGGCTCATGAATAGTAGATAATTGTGTAGTTTCAAAATCAAACGCAATAATTAAATATGGTTGACATTCTTTTGGTTCCAAAGGTTTAATGTAGCAACCTCGTGTTAAATCATGAAATTCATTACATGTATTACAATGTTTTTCTGAGCATACATGACCTTTACGTCCGTTACGAGTGTTGACATAAACATTCCAAATAACTCCGCATTTTTTGCACTTCTTAGAATTTTTACAGAAACCATTATTTAAATGTTGTTCGTAACAATCCTTGTTTTTAAAATCTTTAAAACATAAATTACAATTTTTGAAGAAAATGTTGTCGGGTTGACATGGAAATTCAGGTCCAACACGTGAACAGTTTTTGCAGCGAGCTTTACATGTAATAGAATGATGTTGAGCTTTATTGTAGACACACTTACAGGATAGGCAGTAATACTTTCCAAATAATCGACCATTTTTCTTTACAGCATAAAAATGTTTTTCAATATCATTGTAGTAAAGAAGTATAGGAGTGTCGTAGTCCTCAGGTCCATATTCAAATTCAGGTTGGTAATTACCATGGTCACCGAATATAAATATTTTAACAATACATTGATTAATACATTTAACATTATTCCAATGATCAACAACATGTGGAATCCATTCATCAGCATCATATTCATGCAAACCAATTTGAGCCCCTATTTGATTCATTAATTCATATGTATCTTTTTGAAAACGACCAGCCATTCCCTTTAGATTATTTATGTAGTAGAAAAATTTTAAACATGGCCAGCTGCAAATATTTTGTGTAAGTGATGCGATTAAAGCGAAAAATAGACAATGATTCATGTTGTCAGGGTTATTGAATTTGATTAGTGACCTATTATTAATTTGATGACGAACTTTGGGGATTTTACGAGCAGCCCCTCCTAAACGGCGTCTTTTATTAAATGAATTCTTATTTATTGTTGTTACAGTTATGGAAAAAGGTGCGCCAAATAGAGATAATTCGTCTTGTTTTTTACTCTGGGCAATATGTTGACAACGATTAAGCATGGCATCAACAGTATTATTTGATAAATTACTGAAAAAAATCTAATATAAACTAAAACGTAAGAAATAATACCTGAAAGGAACCCAGATGTCATAGTCTAAAAAGTCACTGGTTAGAGTGCAAGCTAATTGTTGAGGTTCAATGTTTTTTTCTCTTGCATGTTCCAAAGTTCGATCAACACAAAATTGAAAAATTCCTGAATTTTTTGATTTATTGAAATAAAAATTTAGTTTAATTACCAGACAGAAGGGACTCAGCATCGGCTGGAACATCTTTAATCATAAATTTTGAATAAGTTTTAGTTACATTAAATTTTGCATTATGTTGTATTGAATCATTTAGTCGTTCAACATAACGTTCAGCATTGTATCCTGTTCCTTGTTGTAATCCAAGTAGATTAGCAATAAAGAAACTTCTTGAATTTTTTGAAAGCTGCTGCATTTAAAAAATATTTTTATGAAATATTAACTAAAAAAAGAATATTAATATAAAAATGATATAAAATTAAAAAATGACCGTTTTTATAGTCTTTCCCCTACACCTTTATTTAAAAGATGGCAATTAAATTTTAATAGATTTTACCTATTTAACTCTTGTTCTTTTGGGGTTTTCAAATTCGCTATTTTAGGTGTATGAAAATGAAAAAAAGTAAAAAAATAATTAAAAAATTTTAAATGATAGTTTTAGTAAACTCCGGTTGATCTGATCAATCGCTTAATCTCTTGGTATAAAGAACTGATCACCCCCTCTGTTGATCACTCTTTACTGTCACTTTTCAGTATATTGATCACACGATTGATTTCGATCAATTAATTGATCACATAATAAACTGATTGTAGTTTGATCAATTTTAATAACTTTATCACTTGATCACTTTTGATCAATCATCTGATCACTTATTCACATTTTTTATTACATGATAAATTTCATTGATCACTAGCCTTTTAAATTTTAAATTGATTATTCGATCACTTGATTGACCGCTCATTTACTTTACCTACTCGATTATATACATGATACTTTTACTCAATCTTTTGATTGATCACTCAAATAGTCACTTGATCACTTGATTGACCACTCATTTACTTTGATCACTCAATTATATACATGATACATTTATTCACTCTTTTAATATCTTTTGATTGATCACTAAATAAATTAATACTCGCTTGATCAGTTGGTTGATCACTAGATATATTAAAGACAGGTTTTTGAAAATAAATATACCTTTTAGATTAGATGATAAATAAATAACATATTTGATTGACAGGTTTTAAAAATAAAAGAGAAGATTTGAATTTAGATAAAATTAGCATATTTGATTAATAGATTTTTTAAAAATAAAGATTTGAATTTAGATTAGTTTAAAATTAGCATATTTGATTGAAAAAATTTAAAGAATAAAGCCAACACTTTTTAGAATAGATTTAAAATTAAATTAGCATATTTGATTGACAGCTTTTTAAAAAATAAGGATTTGAATTTAGATTAGATATTTAGATTAAATTTGCATATTTGATTGATAGATTTTTAGAAAAGGAAAAATTTGAAATTAGATTGAGATTAAATTTGCATATTTGATTGATAGATTTTTAAAAATAAAGATTTGAATTTAGATTAGATATTTAGATTAAATTTGCATATTTGATTGATAGATTTTTAGAAATAAAAGGAAAAATTTGAAATTAGATTGAGATTAAATTTGCATATTTGATTGATAGATTTTTAAAAATAAAAGATTTGAATATAGAAAAAGATAAAATTAGAAAAGAAATGTTTAATAGAAAAGGAATATTTAAATTTTATGAGAAAAAGAAGTTTGATTTTTGATGAGATAAATTATCAGCAAGTAATCATTTTTACCAAAAACTATGAGAAAGTGTCTTAACATCTAAGGGATACCGCCCTAAACTTTATTAAAGTTTGATCAAAAAATTATCATTAATTAATCACATTTAAATTTTGAAGAAAATGCAACTAAGCATTAGGATTCCACAAAAAATTCTTTAGTGGTAAAAGATAATTAAAAGTCACAAAAAAAACATCTAAAATCTTTGAAATCTCAAAAATAAAACATTTTATAGCTTTAGGGTTGTGTCAAAAAACATAAAAGATAGAAGTTAGGAGCGTTAAAATCGTGTGTGAAAAGGTTTTGTTGAAAGACTTGCGCCAATATGTTGAAAGATAATCAATCTTAATTTAAAAAATTCCTAAAATTCTGAGGAAAAACGGATAACAACAAAGCTCTAAAACTTTTGTTGTTTATCTTAAAAACATCCAGACTCAAAAAGAAACGTCTTTAAACAGATTATTATATTAACAAAAATAATTATTCATCAATCTGAAACGTTCAAAACTAGAGGAAAAGCGGGTGAAATTAAACAGAAACTTGTTCTAATCCTTTGGGTTGCCTCACAAAACCAAAAAGAAAATTTGTGACAAATGATAATTAATCAGAACCCCTTTTTGAAACCCCTCCTAAACCTTTGGGTTGCGTCTTGAAAAACATTGCACCAAAATATAAAAAGACATTTGACCAGAAACCCCTTAAAACCAAAAGGAAAACCCTCCTAAACCTTTGGGTTTTTTCTTGAAAAACATTGCGCGAAATTGGTATACTGTAATTAATCTTAATTAGACCCCTGCAAAACCCTTTGGATATTAAAAGGAAACCTCCTAAACCTTTGGATTGTCTCTTGATAAAATTTGCGCGAAGTTGGTATACTGTAATTAATTTTAATTAGACCCCTCCAAAACCCTTAGAAGATCAAAAGGGAAACCCCCTAAACCTTTAGGATCAAAAGGGAAACCCCCCTATACCTTTTGGTTGCGCCAAAAAAGGTCATTAATTCTCCCACGAAAAAGTGGTATTACTAACTACTAAAGACCCGCCCCCTTCCCAAACCTTTTCTGCTCTGGAAATTTTGTGGGAAAAAAGGGAAATAAAGTGGGGTGACTAACTACTACTGATAAATCAAAAAATAAAATGAGAAAATTCTCTAAATATACACTACATTTAGATAAAATATTGCCAAAATTCTACCAGAAAAATTTGATTTATGCAAATAATGTTAAACAATATTTTAAAATAAATTTTAAAAATCATATGCATATTTTGTTAAAATAATTTTTAGAAAGAAAATACTCTAAAGAAGATAAAATATATGATGAATGGCGTTTTATTTTTGTGCACATTGAATTTAGACCTCTTCATATTTTTGCCATATAATGAATGGCGTTATTTTTGTGCACATTTAATTTAGACCTCTTCATAATTTGCCATATGATGAATGGCGTTTTATTGTTGTGCACCTCTTTATATTTTTGCCATATGATGAATGGCGTTTTATTTTTGTGCACATTTAATTTAGGCCTCTTTATATTGTTGCCATATGATGAATGGTGTTTTTTGTTGTGCATATTTAATTAGGCCTGTTTATATATTTTTTTTGAATGGCGTTTTAGTGTTGTGCACATCTATATATTTTTGCCATATGATGAATGCGTTTTATTGTGCAACTCTTATATTTTTCCATATGATGAATGGCGCTTTATTGTTGAAATAATTTTCCATTATTTATGGCCAAAAATTTGATATCCAAGTGCCCATTTTGATACAAAATATTAAAACTATTTTTCAAAATGAGCACAACATAAAGTATGGAAACTTTATTTTGTCTCTTTATTAACAAGAAAAAAGAAAAATTTATTTTTATTTTCTTTTTCAAAAAAAATTTTAATTTTTAATTAAAATTTACAATCTTCCAACTTCGGCAACTTGTTTCAATCCAACAGGCCAATAATATTTTTCCAATTTTTCCAAATTTCAATTTTCCAAAAAACTTCACTTCTTTAAATTTAAAATTTCTTCAAATTCTTGTAATTTTGCCAATAATTTTGTGTAGTCTAGTGGTGGTGTTGTCCTGGTAGCGTGGTGAGCTGAGCCCCCATATGTTACGATCGGGTCGAGTAGAATTTATTAATACCAATAATATGAATTTAATTTTTAGACTCATCCAGATTATCAATAATTTTAATAAAAAATTTATTTATTTACATCTTAATTTAAACATAAGTGAGCCTCCCAAATGGGAGAACTGCCGATGAACAATAATCATGGGCTTATATATCACATATTTTCTAGTAAAATTGTATAAAAAGTACAATAAAACTAGATCAAGGATATATAAAAAAGAGGGGAATTTGCTTAAAGTACAAAAAAGGAGTGAGAAACTAACCAATTTGATTGATAATTGGTTAAAAGATCAAATTGCTTTAGGCAATTTGGTCGCGGAATAAAATTGTAAAAGGATATATTAATTTATTTTTTATTTATTTTATTATTAATTTTTTATTCCGCGACAATAGTTTAAAAAATAAAGGTCCCTAAAATTTAAAAATTTCTCTGTAAAATAAAAGAAATGGTCTTGTTCTTGTTTTTTCCAGTCCCGTACAAAATTTCTATCGACTTAAAATGTTTCTTGCTTATTCACGAAATTATGCAGCAAAAATACAATTTTTACCTAGAATTTTTAATTTTTTTGAATCAAAAATTAAAACACCTATTTTTATTAAGATTACTCTCATTTTAAATGTATTGTTCGACAAATTGAGTATTTTTAATCTATTGGACATTTTTAGATGAGACGTTTAGGTGGTGGGACATTTTGGGATGGGACGTTTTATGGGTATGGGACATTTTTGGGTCTCGCCCAATAATAAAAAAATTTTTTTACAAAATTTGTAATTTTTACAAATTTTTCCTAAATTTTTACTAAATTTTCAATTAAAAAAAATTTCTCTGTAAAAAATTTCTCTGTAAAATAAAAGAAATGGTGTTGTTCTTGTTTTTTCCAGTCCCGTACAGAATTTCTATCGACTTTAAAATGTTTCTTGCAGCATAAACTGATGTTTCTTTGGCAAAATCTAAAATTTCTAGCTTCCTTTCAATTGAATACGCCCGTCTTTTCCTTTTTCTTAATTCTTCAGATAATTGCTCAGTTAATCCGCAAACATCAACGTCACTAGAGCTAGAATTATAGTCAAAAAAAATTTCTCTGTAAAAAAATTTTTCAACCATGCTCGAAAACGAGGCTTTATTAAGGAGGGGGGCTATAATACAGTAAATACGGTATAACAAAACAATTATTTCACCAATCATTCCAAATACACAATTCTATGAAATTAATTTTTACATATATTTGTCTTTTTTTACATATATTTGTCTTTTGACTTTCACACTATTAGTGTATTTTTTATACCGTGTGGTTGTTCATAACTAAATTAACTTAATAAATAAATAAACATACACTAGATATAGATAAAATATTAACAAAATTCTACCCGAAAAGTTGATTTATGCAAATAATGTTAAATAAAATTTTAAAATAATTTTAAAAAATCACATGAATATTTTGCCAAACAAATTTTTAGAAGAAAATTCCCGAAAGAAATTAAAATATGCATCAATAATAAATAAATATTTAAAATGGCCCAAACTTAGAAAATGAAAAATAAATTAAAAAATAAAGGCCCCTAAAATTTAAAACTTTCACTGTAAAATAAAACCACTTGTCATCTGTAAAACCTTCAAATACTCAAATACTATTTTCTTTACGTTAGTCCTGCATCTTTCCTTTTCCTTTATCTGTAAAAATTTTAATGATTAATTGTTTTTAGTTTTTTTCATATAAAAACCTTTTCTTGAACTGCCTCGGGTGCGTGATCCGCTTCCTTGAATTGAACGGCCACCTAAATTTATTATTTGAAATTAATACTATTTTAATACACATTATAGATATTCTTTGTTACCTGGGTTAGACCCTGATACTGGACCTTGGGAAATTTCCGAATCATTGGTCATTGATTCATGTTGAGTAGAACCGGGCTCTTTAATTATTCAAATGTACAAAATATTTTTAAAATGAGTACCACGAATATTTATTCCTCCTAGATTTCGTCCTTCCATTGACGCGGCTAATGCTGCCTCCAAATCTTAATGAAATTATTTACTTCAATTTTTAATTTACTTTTGGAATTATATAAAAATATTTTAAATTCAATTACCATAGTCCGGATTTTGATGTTGAGTATGAGGAACTCCTGTATTATTCGTAATTTATTAAATTAATTATTAAATACCAAAGTTAGTATCATAAAATGGAGGGTTTCCAGCATATGGACTGTGTATAGCATGCTGTCCATATTTGAGATGTGAAAAATTTGGTTGCTGAGATACATCAGCTTTAATAAAATTAGAAATTTAATTACTTATGGTTTAAAATTATTATACAAGTAAAATTTTAATCTTCGGGTATAATTTAGAGCAACCATACGATTTTTCGTTTCAGAATTATACAGGGTATTTTAACTAAAAAATACTATCTGAAAAATTAATAACTTTCTATCGCGGTGACAGATTTTAATGATATGTATTTGGTATTTTTTATCTAAATTTTATGGCTTTTTTATTTACATAAAAACTACGTCTAAATTCGAACTCTAACCCAGGATCAAATCCTTACTCTAACGTTCTCGTTTCTCCCTGTTTTCCTGTTTCTTCTACATTTTTTTGCTGCGGTTGGCGACAGATACACTATATAGAACCAAATAAAATGATGCAAAGATACACACGTTGAGCACGATATTGGCAAAAGAGAACGGTAGAGTCGGGTTAGTGTTCGAATTTAGACGTCATTTTTAAGTCAAAAAATGTCATAAAATATAAATGCAAAATACAAAATTTCATTAAAATCTGTCAACGCAGAACTGTTATTAATTTTTCAAATTAGTATTTCGTAGTTGAAACACCTTGTATAATAAATGAATTAGATTGTTTATTTCCATTCCGAAAAATAAGTCTGGATAATGTTATAAGAAAGAGCAAATTATTATCTTTAGTATTTAAATTTAATCAAGCAACCTATTTGTCCAAAATATTGATGTAGATATGAAGCTCCTATAAGGTTTTAATATTTAGGATTATTGTTTTAAATACCAAAAGTTTGAGGATATTGATGATTTGTATGAAGTTGTGTATCTACTCCGTGATGCCAGCTTTGATGCTGTTCTGGATTTTGTTGCTGAGTTCCAAAACCTTTTTTATGAAATAGGAAATTAAATAGTAACGCTACACGCAGCAACCTTAATTTTATTCAAGAATAATATGTTGAGAAGATACCTGAAAATATTTCTCCACTTTGGATTTCTCCTTGATGCGGTTGAACATGTTCATCTGGTTCTTGAATTAGATTATCCAAAACTATGATTTTTTAATAATTATGTATTTATTTGATTAATTAAATTAAGAATTATTGTCAGGCCATTTAATCTGAATTCTTGCTTTATATGATTATTCACCGAGCAGCATTTTAAAAGAATAAGCGGGGTTTAAACTATCTAAAAGGATCGTTACGGTAGTTTAGTGGTAGAGCATCTGCATTAGTGTGAGCAAGGCCGAGCGAGCACTGTCAGGTTTGTCTCGAGTTCGAATCCATCCCGGTTATAAACTTTTGCTAAACTTTCTCTATTTCTTTAGCGCCGCAGGCGAAAAATATAAAAACCAAAAGCCAGATTATTTTTCCCTTATTGGTATAACAATCGTTAATACATATATTAAAAATATATTTACATTGTTCAAAAGTCTCTTCATGTTCATGTGGAGTTGCAGCAAAATCTTTATTAAATATTAAAAAAATGTATATAAATATTAAATAAAATAAAAATAATTAAAAGATAAATTGTTTAGGTCTCAAATTGTTGTAGCAACACTGCAACGTAGTCGTCCTAATACATACTAACATAGAAATATGTTACCATATTTTCTTGAAAATTTTTTTAAGAAATGTTCAAATTGGAACTCATTCACTTGTGCAAATGATTCTATCAATGCTAAACCTCAAAACTACTAAATAATCAATGTAGCTTATTTAATATCTACAAATATTTCCTATACATATCTCTTATTTATAGAAAAATATATAAAATTAAGTTTTCCCATAAAATTTATTTAATTATTACTAGATTGATCCAAAATAGCTTGCTCATCATCATGCGTATGCCTTTTATTGTAATCTAAGGATAATATGAAATGAAAATTTGTTTAAGGATGGTTTAAATTAGATAAAATATTATATAATAATATTTAAACATTTTACTTTCCAAAGCTTCTTTATGTTTCTTTGTGTTTAAATGACTTCTAAAATCCCTGGTATCACGAAAATTTAGCTAAAAAAAGTTTATTTTTACAATTTTATTATCAACAAACCAAAAAATTCTTTTTATTATTTTTACATGGATTACAAACAAATGAGCAGGTATTTTCGTCAATATCAATATAATCCAAGTTTTCTTTTAACTCTTTTTCAATTTTTTGTTTAATTATTTTCAGATTTATAATTAGCTGCGCTCGAACTGTTTTTTAAAATTATTAAGTTAATCGTTTTATCTATTTACTTAGAGGTGTTGTTTTTCGTTCGGTTTGTTTATGCGTATTGTTGTTTCTTACAAGCTATCGAATACTCTCTATTTCAAATTATTTCATTTGAATCCCAATTTTATTTATTCTAGTAATAATTCCAACATTATTTTACATTCAAATCGAATTTTAAATTTAGACTTATTCCGCATTATTAAATAGTAACACTAAAGGATTCTGCCCAAATTTAATATAAATTTAAATAAATTTGCCCCTCAATTCCCCAAAAGATAATTAACCGTTTTGTTGTTCTACAAATTGTCCAAAATTTTGTCCGGCTAATTGATCTTGTTCAACTTGTTGCGGTTCGGCTGATTAAATTATTTATAAAAATGTTATTTTCTTGCAGAAATTTATAAATATAATTTACAATTTAAAAAGTATTTGCCAATTTAAGCTTAATGCACTTTACCGGGTGATTTTAATTTGGACGATATTTATGTCATATGAGTGAGCTATGTGAATTTTGTCGGAGGACAGCATAATTATTTCGAAAAACAGACTAGGAAAAAATAAAGAGTTCGATATGATTAAAAAAAATAGGCAACAACATTAGTAGTAGGTACCCTTGAACAGAACAAAACCCAAAATCGATTAAATTAGTTAATTAATTTCTATTTCTAGCAAAATAGTATTTTTCTTAAGTTATTCATGCACATTTCATAAACAAACTTCGCCTTTTAATAATTATTCAATATTCTAAATCTTTATACTAATTTCACTTTACAGATATACCAATATTACATACATACAATCTCTACCTTTATTCAAGTTGTCATTATGTTTTTGACTAGTTAAGTGTCGTGAAATGTTGCGATTAATCTAAAGTATTTTTAAAAATAAATTTATAAATATTACAAACCTTTAAATTACATAATGTGCATTCTAGTTTATCACCGACTTTTTTGATATATTTTTCCTTTTCCTTTATTAAAATTTTTTTTGATTGTTTTTCCTCAATACCTAATTATATTAATTAAATGATTATTAAACAAGAATATAGAAAATAACATTACTAAGGGTATTCCCTTTAATATGTTGGGATAATTTAACATGTGATTCAATTGCAATTTTCAGACAAGGCTTTAACTTGAATTTAGATAAATATTAATTTATTCAAAAATTTAAATTTTACTTCAACACCACAAATTTTACAAAAGAGAATATTTGTTTTTTCTTCAATGTCAAAATTGTTTTGTTGGCCAAGTTCTTTTAACCATTTTTCCAAAGTTTCTTTATGTTCTATATATTTATATAAAAATCCATTTTAATCTTAATTATTCATGTAAAATACCTTCAGTTCCATATCCTCCATGTCTACTTATATTGTGATATATGAGTCTTTGATCTACATGTGTGCCAATAACTTTTTCCTTACATCCAGTGCAATAAATACAAAAATCATTTCCTTCTCTGATTACTTTATACATTTCAGAATTTATAGGAAGGTTGTTAATATATCTTACATACTGTTCCTTTCGACCTAAATGTAAATCTTTTTTAAATTTTAGATATTCAATTAATAAATGAATTTTGAAATAATTCTCTTAATATTTCATAATTTTCAATTATTTGGGTTACGGTTGATAATGTCTTGTCGTAGTTTTAGTAATTAATTTACAGCAGAGGAGTACTAATTTAAATAAATTACGTAACTAAATAAATATTTGATAAATTAATTAATATTTTTAACCGGAATTATCTTTTACCCCCAAAAATATGACCAAAATCTGACAAATTTTCAGCAATTTCTTGGCTAGGATTGACTTCTTGATTGTGTCCTGTACTCGTTGTGGGTATACTTCCGGTCCCTTCATGTTCACCAGTTCCTGTTCCGCTTGTTTCAACATCTCGAGGTTGAAAACGATGGTAGGGCTGGTTTGAGGTGCTTTCATTTTTATCAAAAAGAAGTAATACTAATAGTAAATAAAGAAATAATAAACTAGAAAGTTTCATTTCCTTAATTAAAAAATAACTTTTAAGAAAATATCAAAAAAAAACTCGAAAGTTTCATTAACTTCGCTAAAGAATAACTTTGAGAAATCATTATAAAAAATATATTTATATTGAAAAAATTCATTTATTGATTTTATTATTTAGAGTAGAGATAGGAATTTTGTTCCGTACCGTATTCCGGTATAACGGGCTCGCGGTATACTGGGCGCGGCATACTGGTCGGCGGTATACTGGGCGGCGGTATAGTGGCCTGCTCCCATGGGTTACGTATGCTATCGTGGCGGATAGCTGAGTGTTTAGTTACGTTGGGGAGAGCGTTTGGATACGAAACTTCTATTTAAATTTTGGTATAAGCGTTGGAAAGCCTACTGGCTTTGGGGTGCTTCGCGCACTGCTAGAACATTTGATTGCCTAGAAGAAAGGTTTAGCCTTGCTTTTCATCACATTTCTGGCCTTCGGCTCTTGTACTACCTATGCCGAATGTGGCAATTTATTCACTCAAGACCCTAGACTCAAACAGAGAAAACTATTTAAAAAAGAAAAATTTATTTAAATTAATTAAAATTCCAAATATATAAAAGGGGGAGAAAAATATATGGGGAGAAAAACAAAAGCTAGGCTGGTAGGAACTGGCTGGTAGTTAAGAATGAGAGTTCAGAAAACACTGACTTTTCTCTTAAAAGCCAAATAGTTAAATAGTGAAGAAATTGGGCGGTACAAAAAACAAAGTTAGGTGAAAATAAGAGATAAATGGAATGGGTGGAATCGATAAATAAATTTAAAAATAAATTAAATAAATTAAATTTTGAGGCAAAATTGTGCCTGTTCGGCACATTCCCCTCGACGAGAAAAAAGAGGGGAGAAAAATAAGATCACAAAATAATCACAATGTATCTTATTGATCATCGGCTCTTCAAATTGTCTTCTTCCTCTGATTGATTGCCATTGTTGAGTTTGATTCCATCGCGCATTCCAAGAGAAACTGGTCGAACATGAGGTTCTTTTCTACATCCACTGCGGATGAAGAAATAAGGTGTGACCTTAGAGATAATCTGATCATTGCTATAAGGCCAAGGTCGCTTTCGACCATAATTGGATGGTTTGGAGCTGGAGGGCACTGGAGCCCGAAAATACACTTGGCTTAACAGGACGGCGGCTGGTATTGTTGGAGGCTTCGGACCTGAGGATAAGGTTTCATTACTTTCAATTTCTGTGGGATTAACTTCGGCTTTACGCCGTGTAGATCTTTCATATTCTTTTCGGTGTTTTCTCTGAAGCATAAATTCAAAATCTAATTTTTCTGAGGTTTTCTCTTTATTTCCCCACAAAGCATTATCCTTACCGGTTTCCAACCCAATATTTTGTTGTTGTAAATTTTGTTGTTCCATTGTTTGTTGTTCACTTTTCTGATGGTCCACTTTATTGGGTGCAGGCTGAGGATTCAAAATAGAATTAAATTGTGGTTGCTGTTGTTCTGGTCTTTTATCAATTTCCATAATTTTCTCACTTTTTGATGTATTTTCTGATGTTTTCTTTTCTTTAAATTTCCAAACACTTTCCTTGGTTGTTGATACAATATCTCTGCCAGAATCCAACCATTCACTAATAAAATCAAAATCCTCAATTGTATCTGGTTTGCCCAACTTTCCAAAATATACTCTTTCTCGTTGTTCTGAAGTAAAACTTGTTGTTATTGGGTAAGGAAACACGGAGAACAACCGCGATGGGTTAGGAAACAAACAAAGAGTATGTCTCTTGATAAAGATTGGCTCTACAGCCACAACTGAGAATGGTTGAATGCTCCTAGCTACTAATCTTTGTGAAAGGCTTCGCTGAGCCGGTAGGAAACTTGAAAGGCTTCGCTGAGCCGGTAGGAAACTAATGATGGGTCCGTCCTCTGCCAAAATTCCACCGCCTAGCCACTTAGGTGTTTTCATTTCTGATTTAATAAAGGGAGTGCCTATTCGCCCAAACTGGTGGCGCTCTTTCTTTTGTAATTTAAATATTTTCTTCGGGCTCTTGCCCAATTTTTTCACATAACTTTGGAAAAGTACTAAATTCTGCTCTGACTTAAGTAATAAAATATCGCCCTCTGGCGGACTATCACCAATTACTTTGTCTAAACAAATTTTTTGAAAAATTCTGGTGGGGTCTGGCGAAACTTTGTGGTTTGGGTCTCTGACCCCTTCCCCACTTCGCAAAAAATTAAATAAAATGATGGGAATACAAGATGCTAATGTGCTTAAAAATTTGTGATTAAAACTATTGATTAAGGTAATTATACTGATTATCAAAATAAAATAAATGGATATGAAATTTCTGTTTATTAAAGTCTTGTTTATGGATTTAAATGCTTTAAAAGGTATATCAGGTGGAATTTTCTTCCTCTTGATGGTCTGCTCTTCTCGGCAGACTACTATTTGGTCCTTGTGGTCACAGCTAACGTTTATTATAAATGTCAGAGAAATTAAAATGAGTGTGTTTCCATGTTCGACTTGGGTTTCCTGGGTCCTTTCCTTTGACCTTTCTAGCTTTTTCTTGGCTCCATGAGCTCTCTCATCTAATATTTGTTTAGGAAATAGCTTTTCTGGTAATAATGTATGTGAAACTCTGGTTTTCTCTATTAAAGGAAGATCGGAAGGGTCTTTCACCCTCTGGAACTTAGTAAATTCTCGGTCGGTTTGGTGCAACCCGACAATTAAAAATGCTGATTTTAAGTCGGCGATTGCTATGAATTTGGGAAATTGGAAACACAATATAAGTCCTACAAACTCTGGTAGGATTACTGGTTCCTTTACAGGATAATCGTTGAGAGATGGTTGTCCCTTGGGTTGGACAATTACATCCTCGTCTGGTTGCTCGATGACACTATGAGTCAACTGCTCCTGGGTGTCTGGACTATTAAGGGCGAGTTCGGTAATTCTATTATCTTTCTCTATCTGCAGCTTCTGATAAGACTTATCTACTGGTTCGGTAATCATATTATCTTTCTCTATTTGGAACTTGTGGTAAGGCAAATCTGATGAAAGATTCAAACTTTCACATCTAGGAGAATCACTATTATCTTTGAGACGGGTAATCTGATCGTCAACTGTTGACTTGTTCTCTTTAACACAATTATTTCTTTGTAGTTGCTTCTCATCTTTCTCTTTAATTTTCTTACTCATTAATAGCTTCTCTGCTTGAGGGCGAGTATCTGGCTCTGTGCCAACCTCTGGTTTAACTGTTTCCTTGTTAATAGTAAATAATGTCATTATTTTGGGTCGAACTGGTAAGGGTTCAGTGAATTTCACAACTTTTGGAACTGGTACACGTTCCTGAACTACAACCTTCTGAGGTGGTTGAATATTGGTCTGAACAACTGGTGTCTCTCTAACTTGCTTTACTTGGTGTCGTACTGACAATGCTTTATCTGAACTAATAACTGGACTCTGATTCTGTCCCAAAGCCATCTGGGTGATTTGCTTTTCGGGATAATAACTATCTTCCTCTGGGGCTAGAAAATCCTGATTATTTTCAAAAGTTCTCGTGCATACTAACACGTGATGGTTCCCTTGACATTGGGCACAAATCTTAAATGAAGGACAGTCTATGGCACAATGTCCTTCTCCCAGACAACGGAAACAACGTTTCTGTTCTTTCAATCTCTGAAAACGTGCCTGAGGTGTTGAATAACAAGGGCATTCACTAGGGAAATGGACTCCTCCGTTGCACAGTGAACAATTTCTTTTGCCTTGAGGGGGCAACTGTCTGCTTTGAATAGGTCGTGATTGGGTACAAAATGAATGAAATTGTTCGGTATGTCCTGTTCTAGGACGGTAATCATTTCTCTGATGTACGGGAGGGACGATAGGATCTCCATGATGTCTCACTTTGAGTTGTGAAAATCGCCTAACCTCCTCACTGATCTCAACTAGGTTACATAACTCTTGTCTAAGTCTGGTACTGTCCCATCTGACTTGGGAATATCGTTCCTTCTCAATTAACTTGGCAACTATAGATTGGGGTAGCTTGGTTTTGATAACTGTGGAAACGAATGGGGACTGATCCATCGCTCCAAATGCCTCTAACTGACGGCATATTCTTTCCACCGAGTCAACGAATGCCCTTAAGGAATGGCTGGATTCGTTGGGTGGGGTAAGGTTCATAAGCTCAGCCTCTAAAGCCTCTGTGATGGCCCGGCTATTTCCATAACGTGATTTGAGCAAATCTAAGGCTCGGTCATAATTCTCATTGGAAAGGACAAATCCAGCTACTAATTCCTTAGCTGAACCTTGAAGAAATGCGAGAAGATAACTCATTTTCCTGATATTATCCATGGGACGGGAATCTATATTCGCTGAAAAAAGTTGCCAAAAGGTGGTCCACTTCTTGGGATCTCCATGGAAGGGATCCATTTTAAGCTCTGGGAGCCTAACCTCTATCGGTTGGTACTGATTATTCTGCTCTGACTTAAAATTCTGATTTTTCTGCTCATAAACATGTTCTGATTTATCTGTGAGGGTGGCTTGGCTACCTTGGCCAGAAGGCACACTTGTCTCCTCTAGGAGGTAATCAATCTCATTTATTACCCCCCTGGCCCTTTCAGCCATATCCATAAAATGATTATATTCCTGATCGTCTCCCGCTGCTCGGGGCAAAAATTCCTGATATACTTGCTCCTCATGCTCGAGGGCTTCTCCCACTAGGGTATCTATAAACTCTGTCCATCGAACGTGTAAATCGTCGACTCTAACTAGAGCTCGACTCAAATGAAAACGCGCTGCACGTAAGGACTCTTGATTCTGAACTTCTCCCTCTACGGGAGCTAAAGCTTGTATTGCGGGCGTTAGCTGATCCCTCAATGCTTTGAGCGCTAACCCCAGTTGTCGTCTGATAGACCCTGAGGATGCCATAATTTGCTGTTTGACTTTGACTTGCTAGACGATAGGATTTGACTTGCTTGTATATCTCCGGTCTGGAATGACCGCGTTGAAAAATGTTTTTAAAAACCTGGTACTATCTGTGGCGACTTTAACCGGCACACAGAATTTTGAAAACTTGGTACTGTCTGTGGGGACTCTAACCGACACACAGAGCTTTGAAAACTTGGTACTGTCTGTGGGGACTATAACCGGCACACAGACTTGTGAAAACTTGGTTCGGTTACTCTTAACCGAAAACTTAAAGTTCGGCTATCTGAGCCGTGAAGAAGTTACTGTAAATTGATTCGGCCTTTGCCGAGCAGAAAATTTTAAAAAATTTAAGTTTATAAAAAATTATTTATTTTTCCAATAAAAAAATGCAAAAAGATGACACACCAGATGTGTGTTTTTTCGGCTATCTGAGCCGTGAAGAAATTGTTCAGTAAAAAACCCCCTTTAAGGTTTTTTCTTTCTTTTCTAACTTTTAGAAAAATTCGCTCTTTAGCGATGTAAAAAATTTTTATTTTTATAAAAATAAACAGCAAAAGATTATCTTTTGTTTTTACACCAGAAGTGTGTAAAATATACAAAAGAAAGGAAAAAAGAGGGGAAAAATGGCCTAGCTTGCCGATGTAAATTTTTGAAAAGAAATGCACAAAAATGTGCAAAAATGTTTATTTTGATTTGGCCTGTACTTTGGCCAAAGAACACAAAAACTATTTTTTAAAAGAAAAGGGAAAAATGGCGCAAGTCGCCAGATGTGCAAAAACTGTAAGGAATGTAAAAAGGCGCAGGCTCTCTGATTGGCCGGCCAAAAGGACTGTTTGAGTCTGGGAGGGGTCACTTGAGTATGGGATGTCCAAAAGGTACTTGGGACCGGCACTTGGACTGTAACTGATTTGATTAAACGACGGCCACTTTTGGGCCGGCAATCGTTTATCCGACGGGCACTTGGGGCCGGCAATCGGAAATTAGCTAATAAGGTAACGACGGGCACTATGGGGCCGGCAATCGTTAAAGGTAAATGATTAGGGTAACAAGGGGCACTCTTGGCCTGCACTTGCTAGAAAAATATAGATAAAATAACGATGGGCACCTCTGGCCGGCAATCGTTAAAGTTAACTACTGAAATTAACTGACGGCACTATTGCCAAAAATACTATTTAGGTACTCAAAGATTCGGCTCTTTGCCGGGAAGATTATCAGTGGGTCGTTCCCACTCAAGAAAAACTTTTAAAGAACGGTAGGCACTATGGGGCCTGCTACACGTTCTGGAAGCTAGGGATCCACTGATCGGCTCTAGCCGTGATGACTGATGAAACGGGTATTCACTGACCCGTACGGGGCTCCAATTTTTATATGCCGAATGTGGCAATTTATTCACTCAAGACCCTAGACTCAAACAGAGAAAACTATTTAAAAAAGAAAAATTTATTTAAATTAATTAAAATTCCAAATATATAAAAGGGGGAGAAAAATATATGGGGAGAAAAACAAAAGCTAGGCTGGTAGGAACTGGCTGGTAGTTAAGAATGAGAGTTCAGAAAACACTGACTTTTCTCTTAAAAGCCAAATAGTTAAATAGTGAAGAAATTGGGCGGTACAAAAAACAAAGTTAGGTGAAAATAAGAGATAAATGGAATGGGTGGAATCGATAAATAAATTTAAAAATAAATTAAATAAATT